GCCGCCCGCCGGCCTTCCCCGCGCTCCGCCTTGTCCTCCGACTCTCCCTGGTCAGGCTTTCCTGCTGGCCTGTGACTTCCTTTAAAACATGGTGTTGTGTGTTTTTTTATTGTTTTGAGAGAGAGGGAGAGGGAGAAAGAAACGTCGAAGAGAGAGACGTTGATGGGCGGCCTCCTGCGCGCCCCCTGCTGGGGGTGAGCCCGAAACCCCGGGCTGTGCCCTGGCCGGGAATCGAGCCCCTGGACCTCGGGGTTCATGGGTGCACGCTCACCGCTGAGCCACACCGGCCGGGCAGCCGGTGACTTGCTTGAAGTGGGAACTGGTCTCGGTTCCTGAGTGTGTGCTGGGGTGGGGCAGGCAGCTGATGAACCAGGTGTGGTCCTCGCCCTCAAGGAGCCCTGCTGGGGGAGAGAAACCCTTAGGAGACTACAGTACAGGTGGTAAGGGCTGTTTCTCCATTTGACACATTTTAGTCAACACCGACTATGTGCTGAGGTCATGAGAGGGAACAAGACCAACATCATCCTATTCTGCTGGAATTTATAGTCTGGCAGGAAATATGGACATTAAACAGGCAAATACGCGGCACTGGTGAGTGTCATGGTAGCGGAAGTACAGGCTGTCCCAGGTATCTAGCCCAGTGAGTCCTAACCCAACCCGATCCAGGAAAACTTCTTTGTGGGGGTGACTTTCTAGAGTCTTAGATCATGTCACTTTCCTGCCCAAAGCTTATTGCTCACTTTCCATTGACTTGGAATAAATCCGAACTTATCTTGGCCTGTAAGCTTCTAGTGGCCTTGTTGCCTCCCACCTTCTACACCCTCTCTCTCTCTTTCCAGTCTAGCCACACTGATCATATCTTTATTCAAACTTGCCAGGCTTATTCTCATATTAGGGCTCATGCTGTTGACCTGTCATTCACGTCTTAGCCTAAATGACACCTTCTCAGGGGGTATCTAACACATGGGATTTCCTAAGTGATGAGAGTGGTCCAGGTGTCTGGTTATGTCAATGAGGTGACTTTTGGAATGGCCCTAAGTTGCCTAAGGATGGGGGCTGGTTGTCAGGGAACCAACCTTGTGATTAGAGGGTTGGAACTAACCCCCACCTTTAGGAAAGTGGAGAGGTGCTGGAGGTTGAATCAGTGGCCTATTATCTGATCAGTCATGCCTATGTAATGAAGGGACCGAAAAAGGTTTGGAGAACTCTTAGGTTGGTGGACAGGTGGAGATTGGGGGAGAGTGGAATGCTCAGAGAAAATGGAGAGGACCCTTCCCACATGCCTTGCCCGTGCATCTCTTCCACCTGGGTTATATCCTTTAATAATAAACCAGTGATCTAGTAAATAAAATATTTTCCTAAGTTCTTTGAGCCTCTCTAGAAAATTAAACCCAAGGGAAGGGGGTCTTTGGAACCTCCAATCTATAGCCATCGATCAGAAGTACAGGTAACAACCTGGTCTTGCCCTTGGCATCTGATGTGGAAGGGCATGGGGTGTGGGTGGGTGCACAGTGTTGTAGGGCCAAACCTTTAACCTCTGGGATCTGATGCTCTCTTCAGGTAATAGTGTCAGAATTGAGTTTATTGCTTGATGGTGATGGAAAAAACACACATTGGATAACAGACCCTATGTTGGATACTTGCCATGTACCAGGCCCTCACAGCTTTACATATATCATCTAATCTTCCCATCAACTCTTTGAAGTAGATATGTCTTATCCTCATTTTACAGATGAGAACATTGAGGCTCTGAGAGGTTAATTAACTTGCCCACGATTGCACAGCTGGCAAGGGCAGAGTTGGGATTCTAATCCAGTCAGTGTGGTCTTCAGAGGCTAGACTTCAAACTGTACTGCCATGTGTGTACTGGACTCCTTAAGGGGCCTCTCAGAGAATTTGGACTTTATCGTATGGACCACAGGAAGCCTTTGAAGGGTTCTAAGTAGGGAAGGTGAGAGGGCACAGGAGGGCTGGAAGAGCCCAAACAGCCTGAGTTGGCTTTTGGCGGTATGGGGGTTGCTTCCCACAGAAGCTGGGATCTGGGTGAGTCTTGGAGCATGGGCAGCACTAGCCCAGAAAAGGAAAGAACTTTCTAGTAGAACTGCACGTGCAACGGCCTGCAGGTGACTCCACTTTTCAGGAGCTGCCTGTAGTTCATTTTAGCTGTAGATGAAGGGGCTTCCAGGTGGGAGTTGAGATAAGTGTTGAGGTGGAGAGGAAACCAGGCCCTGAAGGACTTTGGACTTCCTCCTGCTTCCTGAGCATGGAGGTCACCTCTGCATCTCTGGGCCCACCCTTGCTGGTGTCTGGGGAACCAGGAAGCATTTGTGAACAACAAAGCTCAACAAAGCTCTGACCGTTTGTAAGGTGTCAGAGTGCCTGAGGCCAGGTGATGAGAGCACTTGGGCCGTGGGAGGGTTTTAGCAGAAAGTCACAACTCCGCCTTATTCTTAATCTTTGAAAGTGGTCAGAGTGCCCTGGCCAGTGTGGCTCATTTGGAGCCACATAAACCAAACGGTGGCAGATTTGATTCCCATTCAGGACACTTACCCAGGTTACAGGTTCAATCCCCAAAGAGGGTGCATGTGGGAGGCAACCAATCAACATCTCTCCTTCCTCTCTCTAAAAGAATCAATACCAAAAAATAGTAATAATAAATAGATTCATTGAAAGTGGTTAAAGTGCTTAAGATAAAACTCTGTGGAGCTATTAAGCTGGGAAAGGATCCAGCTACCTCTGGTGAGTCTTAAAATGTAAAAGCAATTGTTTTTCTTGTTCTGGGAACTTTCCCAGTCATCCATGCTTCTTAGTTTCCACATCACTCACTTGTCCAGTCAGTGTAGCATTTCAGATAGTTTTACTATTGAGAGTTATAAGGACATTTGCCCTCTAACTGTGGTCATGATTTTCCTAATAATTATGTTTCTTTTACTGCCTATCAGCAAAGACTCTTGGAAGTGCAGTGCCCAGAAAACCTGTCTTATCTGTCAGTGCGAGAAAAATTAAGGACAATGCAGCCGATTGGCATAATTTAATCCTGAAGTGGGAAACCCTCAATGATGCAGGTTTTGCTACTGCAAATAACATTGCCAACATGAAAATCAGTTTACTGTAAGTACAGCCAGAGCTCCTCCAAGCTCTGCACCCTTAGATTGGGCATATGTTTTCTGAGAGTTGTTTAGAGGGGGAGAAGTGTGGTCTCTATGGACATGGGTATTACATTATATTAAGTAAAAGAGCAAGTGGTGAAATGATATATGCAAGTATGAACTATGTCCATTTAAATACAAAACTATATACTGTTCATGGTTACACCTGTATATGAAACTATAGAAATGGTTGGAAGGACACAGGCTCAGTTCAGACACTGGTCTCTTCCAGGAAGAATGAGCGTTGGGGTGGGAGGGAAGTGGGACTTGATCTTCATAAGGCTGCATTTTATCTTGTGCTGTTGTGATTTATAATAAGAAATGTCTATTTGGTCTTTGTCCCTGTTCCTGACACAGCTCCCGAAACCCTTAGAATTTCCTAATTGGTGAGAGCAAGGGGAGAACCTTTTGTTATACCATTTGGTCTTTTGTACTCAAATAGTTCAGTTCCTGAAATAGCTCCAGAGTGGTGAAAGCGAAAGGAGTATCTTCCTACTCACTGTGAGCCCCTTTCAGCCAGGCCTGTGTTTGTATTATTAGCACTGTGACGTTTGGAAAGCCCCCAGGGACGGGGGCTGCTTGCCAGGGGAACCAACCCAGCCACGAGAGGGTTGAAACTCTCAGCACCACCCCTCCAGCAGCGCCCTTGCGGGAGGTGAGGGGCTGGAGGTTGAGTGAATCACCAGCAGCCAATGGTTCGATCCATCCTGCCGACCTAACGGAGCCTCCACGAACACCCAAAGGGTGGGGTTTGGAGAGCCTCCGAGTTGGCGAACAAGGATACCTTGATGTGCTGGAAGAGGGTCCCCCAACTCCACGGGGACAGAAGCTCCTGTTTGGACCCTTCTGGACCTCACCCCATGTACCTCTCCATCTGACTGTTCTTTCACATTCTTTAATGTCTTTTGTCATAAACCAGTAATCTGATAAGTAGACAGTTTTTCTGAATTCTGTGGGCTACTCTAACAAATTAATGGAACTCGAGGATGGGTTGTGGGATCCTCTGATTTATAGTCAGAAGTACAGATGACAGCTTGAACCCCTGGGACGGTCACTCTTGGGGACTGAGCCCTTCACCTGTGGGATCTGAAGCTATCTCCAGGTTAGATCCCATATGTGTGTTAAATTTCTCCAAGTTATAATTATATATATATATATCCTCCAGCTCACCTATGCTGACAGGCCAGAGTCTAGAGACTCTCTTCCTGGCCGGTCCACTGGGGCTGCTTTCCTCAAACACCTCATGGGCTTTGGGCCTCCGCTGCCTTTTCCTGGTGGGACCTGGGACCCTCACAGTCAGTCCCGTGAAATGCTCCGACATTCCCTGTTCTGTTTGAAAGTGGGATTTCCTCCTTCGGTGTTGACTGTGACTCCACTAGACCAATTTCCTGCCCCATGGGTCACGGCCTTCAGTCTACACAATGCATCCCAGCTCATGAGCTCTGAGTGTTTGTCACCCTCGTTGCCCAGCACCACACCCTCCACCGAGGAGGCCACAGGCTGAATGTAACTGGCTCATTCTAGTGCAAAGCTGAGTGGCTGACGGATGCATTCATCGTATATGTCAGTGAGTCAGCACGTGTTTAACGACGCGAATTGGCACCTTTGCAAGATGTCTCACGACATGACTGGATATTGCGTTTTCTTGAGTTTGTCCCAACCAGCCAAGAACTTATGGGATGTATTTTGTTCCCACTCTTCCCTTGGTTCAGGAGTCGTGAGAAGATAGAGTTGGAGAGCGGCAGCCCGGCTTGCGATGAAAATGCTGAACAGAGGCCTCCAGATTATAGCAGGGAGCTGGAGGAGCTGTGCGAGGAGCTGCAGGCCACCGTGGATGGTTTGGTAAGACCTGAAGGCCCAGCCACCTGTGCTCACCGTCCCTGACTCCCAGGGGCGCATTTGGGGTTTGCCTGGCTCCCGGCAGCACCCGGCACCACGGGTGGTCTTCCCTGCCCAGAGTTGGTTTTTCCCTCCTCAGCCTCCTCTGTGGGTCTCTCTCCCTCTACCTGTCCCATAGCCTTGATGTCCCCAAGATGCTGTCCTAGACCTTGTTCTTTTGGTCCTATGTGCTGTCCAGGGCAATTTCACCCCCTTGCAGGGCTCCACAGTGAATATTTTAAGGCTTGTGAGCCCCCAGCCTCTCTTGTCACCACCCAGTTCTTCCCGGTGTCTCCAAAGCAGCCAGAGGCAGTGTGGAGGTGAATGGCTGTGGCTGTGTTCCCGCAAAACTTTACTTATGGTCCCTGAAGTTTGAATCTCATATAATTTTCATGCATCACAAAGTATCCTTCTTTTGATTTTTTTTGGAACCATTTAAAAATGTAAAACCCGTTCTTAGCCTGTGGCGTGTACAGAAATAGGCTGTGGGCTGGCTGGCCTGTGGGCCCGTCTAGCTCAGAAGAACCGCTCATAATGGCTATTTAATGAACTGATGACCTAAGGTCAGTATCCACCATACTGGCCACCAAACGTGGACAAGACCCATCATCGCTTTGTGGGCACAGGATAGGGGTTTGCGCAGGTTTGGACTTGGATAAGTGTCACCCATTGTGAGCATCACGTCGTTTGTGACCTCTCCTAATGGAAATGTTTCTGATGCATGACTTGCTTCCCTACTTTTTAAACAGAACATGTCAGATATGATTACATTTCCTCAGGATACCACTTGCTTAGACTTAGGATTCCGCCTGTTAGAAGGCAGGATTCATAGATTTAACTAGGTTTGAAAGAGTTGTTCAGAAAGCAGCACTAACCCTTTCCAGTGTCACGTCACTTGGAAGATGGGGAATGGATCCAGAAACACTAGAGTGAGTCAGTGGTGCGTGATGTCTCTCTCTCTCTAAAAAAAAAAAAATTATATAGGTTTCAGGGGTACAGTTCCACAACACATCATCTGTACGTTGTAGTGTGTGTTCATCACCCCAAGTCAAGTCTCCTTCCATCTCCATTTATCCCCCTTCACCCTGTTCCCCGCCCCCCCATTGGTGGTCACCACACTGTTGTCTGTGACTTTGGTTTGTTTTTCGCTCGATGCCCTCACCTTTTTCACCCAGCTCTCCAACCCCCTCCCCTCGAACAGTCATCAGTCTGTTCTCTGTATGTGAGTCTGTCCCCACTCGTTTATGTTGTTCATTAGATTCTGCATGCGTGAAATCACATGGTACTTGCCCTTCTCTGACAGCCTTATTTCACAGCATAATGCTCTCCAGGCCTGTCCAGGCCTGTCCACGCCGTCGCAAAGGGTAAGATTTCCTTCTTTTTTTTTTCACCCGAGGATATTTTTTTCCATTGCTTTTCAGAGAGAGAGAGTGAAAGTGGGGGGGGAGGGAGAGAGAGAGAAACACCTGTGTGAGAGAGACACATCATTGGTTGCCTTCTGCTTGCGCCCCAACGGGCCAGGGATCGAGCCTGTAACCACGGTATGTGCCCTTGGCCAGAACTGAACCCAGGACCCTTTGGTCTGCAGACCAACGCTCTAACCACTCAGCAAACTGGCTCGGGCAAGATTTCCTTCTTTTTTATGTCCTAACACCCATTTGTCTTATTTAACAAACCCCTAATATAGCTCCAGCTCGATGCTTCCCAATGAACTTAGACCTCCTAACCCCCCCGGGAAGCAGGCACTCGACCCACTGGGTTGGCCTGTGCCCGTCCGGACAGCGGGGATGGTGTCGCGTCTACCGCAATGGCCCTGCAGAGGGTGCCCAGCGTTGTGCGGAGCCTGGCTGCTCCGCAGCACGTCAGCGTCAGGTTCTCCTCGGCTCCTTCTTGAGTGAAGGGCGTGGGGCTGCCTTTCCTTATTACCGTTTTATAAACAAAGAAACTGAGCCTCAAAGAGGTTTCCGTAAACTCAGAGGCAATTAATAGATAGAGTCAGTAATGAGCTCATTTAACGACTCTCCCGTCTTTCCTTCCACAAAACCGGGGCCAGTCTTGGGATTGATTCCTCCCGGTCTCAGTGCTAGCGGATGAGTGCCCTTGGGAAATCTCAGTGGGGGGGATGCAGGGGCTTTGTCTTCTCCGGGGCTGGAGACCCCGGCTTATCACTGAAGTAACTGGTTAATGACTCACAGCAGCCACCTGCCTCCGTCTGCCTGGAAATCTGCTGTACACGGAGGTAACGGTGTTGAATGACTGGATTTTTGGTCTCAACAGACTTACATTGCGTAGCTTTGAAATCTTAGAGTTGTTGAATCGGAGACTGGAGTAGATTTCAAATCTTAGTCTCATATTCCAAATTAATATCTTTTCAGACCAAAATACAGGTGAAAATGGAAAAGCTGTCTTCAACTACCAAGGGCGTTTGTGAGCTGGAAAATTACCATTACGGGCAAGAGAGCAAGCGGCCACCCCTGTTTCACACATGGCCCACAGCCCACTTTTGTAAGTCCTGTCTGCATGGGCTGTCGAGGGTAGGTTAGGAGGCCTGGGGTACCCTCTAGAACTCGTATGCTGAGATGCCAACAGGCTTTGAAATCTGATACAAGAGGATCCATTCGGAGGGAGGGAAACGGGGCATCTTAGAGCATTTACCCTTGGCTTAAACCACCCGATCAGCAAAGAATATTAAAAATGTAATTAGAGGCTCATGAAGCAGGTTGTCATTATTGGCCCCTTAAACCAGTGGGTAGAATGAAGAAGTCTTTTGGTTGGTGGTTTTGTTTTTTTAGAACAAAGATTTTTTTTGCTCTTTGTTTTAATAAAAGAAATAAGACTTCAGTGAACCTCATGGAAGACTGCGTGGGTAATGGAATCCATTACCTTAATAAGCTCTGAGATAAGGTTATTTTTAGCTTCATTTCAAAAGAAGGGCTGAGCTATTCAGTATCAATTGAGACCTCACTTTTGAGTGAGACAAGGGCAAGGTGGGCTAATGGGATGTGTATTGAAACGCCGGCAGTTTGAGGTTAACCTGCTGTGTGATCACTGAGGTTCTCAGTAGTTGAGAAAGGTTAGAGTTACTCGTCCATTTCACCTACTTACCGAGTGCCAGTGGCCCCCGCCAGGGTGTGTGCCCGCCTCACCCTTGGTCTCAGTGCCGTAGCCGACTCTGGTGTTTAGCAGAGCTTCTGAGTGGCCGTCTCTCCCAGGCAAGGGGGCCTCTGGGTGTTACTGCCGGTAAAGGGAGACTCGCATCTGTTACAGACGAGGCTTCCCGCCAGCTCTTGGACATGTACCGGGCAGAGCTGCTCCTGAAGCGCACCATCGTGGCAGAGCTGGCACACACTGCGGACCACGACCTCATCCTGACCTACTTGTCCCTGTGGCTGCACCAGCCCTACGTGCAGAGTGACAGCAAGCTGCTGCTGGAGAGCATGCTGCTCGAGACGGGGCACCGAGCGCTGTGACTCCCACACGGCCTCGCGCTTCTCCAGGCCCTGGCTGCTCCGCTGGCCTCTACAGCACCCTTGGTGGACAGTCTTGCATGGGGGACCCAGGGCCGCACCCTAGCGTCATGCCCCAGGCTCTGGCATGGCCACCTGCTGACCTTGGGGCCGTCCAGACTGGACCATCTCACCAGCTGTCTGCGGGCTCTCCAGACACTTGTGTTGCTGCTGCGTGCCATCTGCCTCTCAGTGTCACCTGTACCCAGTGTGAACCGGTCACCCATTAGGACCTGGCATGAAATAAATGAGTTCAACAGAACGATCACGCAATCCTGTTTCTGTAAACCAGGTAATTCCTGGCTTAGTATTTTTACTTTATACTTATTTGTATTGTTGAAACTATATTAGTTTTGTAATTACAGTTACTGTTTAAAATACCAAAGAGTTTACTGGACAAAGATAGCCTCATAGAAATAAAAACTCCCCACAAAAAAATTGCCTGTTTGCGTACCAAGGGTGCAACTGGCCAAGTGAGGTTTCTTCCATGTCATTCTTCTAGCATCAGTCCTATAGTTTGACAGTATATGCAACCAAACATTGCCGGGGGGATCAATTCTGCCAGTGCTCCACAGAAACAAGTCTAAGAAACTTAGTGCAATGGGATATGGGACGCAACCTCATGAAACCAAACTTCTAGCATCCCAGGAACAAGTGCTTCTCAGGGAAGGAAAGGAAATATGCCAAAAATAATAGGCTTCGTATATGACAGGTTATTTTGAGGAAAAGTCAGGCTCTCTCACTGTGCAAACTGACCTATCAAGCATTTAAAGGCAACAATTTTTAGAATTTCTCTGGCCTCTGCCTTTGCAGTATTTGTTAAGATCTAACCATATGAAAGCAGCCCATGGGACATCTTGCAGGCTGAAAACAGGCTGGAAACTGCAGGGTTGGCGGTTGGCAGGAATGACGCCCTGCCCTGCAACGCACCCCCTGCTCGCTCAGGAAGCAGGCTGCTGTCCTGAGCCCGGAGCGATGGGCAGGGCCCCTGAGGCATGGTCGGCCTGCAGTCAGTTTCATGTTTGGGGGCCACCTAGAGAATGCTCTTTGAGGCGACATGGAGAAATTTCTAGTCCTTTCTAGGACACTTGATGTTTCTTGATGCCTCATCGCCCGGACACCCAAGTTGCCTGGAATTCATGGGAAGGATCGATAATGCGAAGGACAAACAAGTAAAAGAACTAAGTGAGGAATAAATTATCCAGTGGCACTCACCCAGAGATCTGTCACAAAACAGAGAGGGGTCAAATTAATGGAAGAGATCTCCAGTTGTCAAATCTGCTGAGTTCCAAAGTCACTGCACACTTGTAGAAATAATCTGCAGACTGTTTTCTACCTGAAAGGAGTAATGACATCACGAGAGAACCGGCATCTGACTTCTAACCACAGTGGCATAATCAGCCCTCTCCTTTGCCTCCAGAAATCTTGCCCAATAGACAGTAAAGGAACATAAAAGTACCAACAAAACAGACGGGACTGGGAAAGGGTTGGGGATGAATTCATGATAAGTACCTTTAACTAAAACTAAAAAACGTGTGTGTGTGTGTGTATATGTATATATACTGAAAACATATATATATCTCTCTCCAGGAAACACAAAAGCTTATACGAAAGCATGAAAGTAATCATAATGTGCCACAGACCTCAGCTGTGAACATCTTGTCATAAATAATAAAGGAGGGCTCCTTTCCTTTTTAAAAAAATAAGTCTTGCTCTTCCCGAAAGTGGCCAGAGGTTACCTGTGAAAATGGTTCACTATTCACTTGACCCAGAAAACCCCACAAAATCATGCAAGTCAAGAGGTTCAAATCTTCGTGTTCACTTTAAGAACACTCGTGAAACTGCCCAGGCCATCAAGGGTATACATATTCGAAAAGCTACCAAGTATCTGAAGGATGTCACTTTACAGAAGCAATGTGTGCGAGTCCGTCGTTACAATGGTGGAGATGGTAGGTGTGCCCAGGCCTAACAGTGGGGCTGGACACAGGGTCGGTGGCCCAAAAAGAGTGCTGAATTTTTGCTGCACATGCTTAAAAATGCAGAGAGCAATGCTGAACTTAAGGGTTTAGATGTAGATTCTCTGGTCATTGAGCACATCCAGGTGAACAAAGCTCCCAAGATGCGACATAGAACTTACAGAGCTCATGGGCGGATTAACCCACACATGAGTTCTCCCTGCGACATTGAGATGATCCTACGGAAAAAGAGCAGATTGTTCCTAAGCCAGAAGAGGAGGTTGCACAGAAGAAAAAGATATCCCTGAAGAAACAAAAACTTATGGCCTGGGAGTAAATTCAACATAAAATAAATACTAATAAAAGNATTGAGATGATCCTACGGAAAAAGAGCAGATTGTTCCTAAGCCAGAAGAGGAGGTTGCACAGAAGAAAAAGATATCCCAGAAGAAACTGAAGAAACAAAAGCTTATGTCCCAGGAGTATATTCAACATAAAATAAATACTAATAAAAGTAATAAAATAAATAAGTCTTGCCCTAGCCGGTTTTGCTCAGTGGTTAGAGCATTGGCCCCGGGGACTGATGGGTCCCGGGTTGGATTCCAGCCGAATGCAGGTGCCTAGGTTGCAGGCTCGATCCCTGGCCCTACAGGAGGCAACCTCTCCTCTCCTCTCTCCCCTTTCCACTCTCTCTGAAAAGCAATGGAAAATCTCCTCAGATGAGGATTTAAAATAAAATACAAGTAAATAAATCTTAAAAAACTGTCACTTTAAACTATATGCATGTATGATTTTGTTAAAAATAAAAACGAAATAGCAAAAAAGAAAACTAAGGAAATGAAGAAAAGCCAAGGCAGTTATCTCCAGGGTAAACGGCAGCTTATGGGAAACGTCAGCGCCGTGCATGGGCTCACACTGAACGATATTTGTATTTTAGTGCAAAACGCAGAGACCAACTTCACACTGACGAGAGACAGAGACGGCAGTGCGAGGGGAAGGTGCCTGGTCCCCATGTCTCAGTGGTTTGTCCCTGGATAACATCTAATACAACAAATCAAGAAAGCAAGACAGCCGTGGCTCAGGCACATGGAGGTCGGGGAAGGCGTTGCCTCCACTGAGGGGAATCGAGGGTGGAGGGCGGGCCAGCACTGCTCATCCAGGCCCTTTGGTAGCACTTGACGTTTTAAACTATGGGCATGCTATCCCCCTAGATGAAAATAAAAATTTGTCTTAACATGTGGACCTCAGAGGACATTAAAGACCAACTCTCCCACAGCCCCCCTCTTCCTGTTCAGCTGTCCCCACCCCCACGACCTGGTGGAGGTAGGGAGTTGGACGTGGGCCGACCTGGTGCCTCGGGAGCCTGACTGGGAGCAGCTGCTGACCACGGACTGGGTGCCATGGTGAGTGCTGAAAACAGGTCCTTACTACAGGCCACCCTACCGAGTCACTCGGGTGGTGTGTGTCCCTGTCTCTGCTATGAAGCCTCTCCACTCCCACTTCTGATTTCAGTCTCTCAGATTACAAGTATGAGGTAGACAAGGGAACATTCTCAATTAGAGAGGGAAATTTCCCCTTGTTTTCTGTATAATGAAGTCACGTCTGTTCGTGTGGTGCTGTGATGACAAGGAGGTCCTACGAATCTGTCTCAGTATCGGGGCCTTGCGAACGCTGCCCTGGCAGGTAAGGCACAGGCCCCCTGAGCACAGGCCCTAGGGGCTGCTGTTGGTCCTGCCTGGCACCCAGCCTCCTTGCTTTTAACCGGGTACAGTGCAGTGTGGGTACTTTTTATTCCATCGCTAAGCTCACTACCCATTTGTAGCAGCACATACACAATGACGAAATTCAGACGTGCTGGGATAGATATTCAACAGAGTAACGTCCTGTCAATGGAAAATAAGTGTGTGTTTCACAGGCCTTGGCCCGGCCGGTCGCTCTGACCTGGCTGTGTGGCTGCCCGGCGGGGGCACTGAAGGACTGGAGCTTTTATGCCTCCCTTTCCTCCTTTGGAAAAGGCAAGTAGAGGCAACTTGCTTTCCTACTTCCCAGTGAAGTGCTGCCCAGGACGGCTTAGCTTGTGGACTACTGTACTGAACCCAGAAGAAGCGAGGATGGACCAAGTCTGGTGAAAGAGCAGCATGTCGCCGAGGAGAAAGGGGATAGTCACTGCAGTCTCAGCCACTTCTGAGAGGCACACATATGGGAGGGAGGGATTCATTACCAGGTAGCCTGCGGCCACCACTGCAATGAGAAGACAGAGAAGACGGTAGGCCGTGGGGTGGAAAGACATCAATCTTTATAAATACAGTAAAACATTCATCTGTGTCAGTATTCACATTAGAAAAATATGCATTACTTGAAATAGAACCTCTGAATAAAATAAATAAATCTAGGACTGAGGTTCTGACTCCATCTCACTGAGGGGGCTCTGCCCTGGCAGTTTCTAGAGGAACCCCTCCTGCTGGGCCCATCTGCAAGGCAAGCCCCTCCGCCTCAGTCAGTAGGACATTGTCCTCCCCAGACACCATGGCACCTGGGTGGGGCACAGTAAGCCCCTCAGGAGTCTGAATAAATACCTGCTCCTGTCCCTGAGACAGCAGCCTGTGGCAGCCACTGGTGATTTCAAAAGCCATGGTTTCACCCACAGCAATGACACCCTCCAGCTCTCTCTGCTCATTGTGAGTCCCAGTCCCGCAGGCAGACTGGTCCAAGCCCACCAAGTGGCTCCTTAGACCTCCTTCAGCAGACAGCAATCCGTCCAGGCCAAGCTGAGGCCCTGACTCTGACACAGTGCTGCCGGCACAGGGCGTCGGCTCAGCGTCTAGGGAAAAGACTTTCTCCAGCAGAGGGGCTGTAGCCCCAGGAAGCAGGGCCTCACTGGGGCTGAATTGCTGGCTGCTCCCATGAGAGCCAGGCACCTGGGGGAGCTTTCCTACCTCAGTGTCTCCAAAACCACCAGGCAGCAGGGATGCCACTCCTCCTGTGGACACCAAGCCGCTGCAAAGTCCCTGGCTCCCTGGGCTGTCCCCAGTGGTCAGGTCTAAAGAGTGTCCCTGAGCGTTCTCTGTGGGGAACACTGCTGCCTGCTCCTGGGTCAGCATCCCAGGCTGTCCGGGTTGAGTGTAAAGCCCCAGCCCACGGACATCCTGATACAAGAGGGCAGGGTCTGCACACTGGCTCCTGGCTGCTAAGTCTGCAAGTGCTCTCAGCTGCTGGCCGGCCTGGGCTGTGCTTCTGTCGCCCTCAGAACCTGGTGGTGTGTGGCCGTTCTCAGGGCAGAGGCAGGTGTCCCCATTTACTCGAGGGATGAAACCTAAACAGCATGGAAGACAGGTAGTCACACAGGTGCTGCATTATAGCCTGCTCACTGCACCCACTCCCCAAAACAAGCTGTCCAAATTAACTTTAGTGCAAGAAAAGGGAAAACACAAACTCTCCTTGCTACCTGGCCTGGTTTGGATGAAGCTACAAGAGGAAGCCCAGGCCAGAGGCGAGTGAGCTGGAATCCACTCAGGTCAGAGTTTGCACTGTTGTCATGAATAAATCTGCTCCCCAGAGCAGAAGTAAGTTAGAAAATGGAGACTGCCCCTTTAAAGCAGGCTTTGCACCAGGAAGGGCACCAGGCGGCCCTGATGAGCTTTTAGAAGGTTTACCATGTTCTCAACCTGCCCTTTGCTCAAAGAGCCTAACTGACAGGTTCTGGCTGGAACAGGGATAAAAGCCAGGATATGCGTTGTTTTAAATGTTAAATCTCACTGGCACTTAATGCCTCAGGAGAGCCCAGCCACAGACTCGGCTGTCCTGGGGCCCCGCCCTGCTCTCAGCCCACCTGTCTCACCACCTACCACCACGAGGCGGTGCTTCAGTTCAATACAGGACACAAGAAAACCTCAAAGGCCTCAAGGTTCGGGGGAAGTTGGGATAAAACTTGAGAAACCAGAGGGCTCTCTTAAACGTGGCCCCAGGGGCACTGATCCTGAAAGAAGGCCTCAGAGCCACGGGGCGCGACAACCATGAGCATCTTACCCTCGCTGGCCGCAGGCGCACACCCGGGCGGCTTCTGTTGGCCTTGAGTGCAGGCAGAAGACTCGGGGAGCTCCTTGGGCAGAGCGGCCCTTCTGGTCCTTTTCACTGAGGCCAGCCCCTCCTCCGCAGGCTAGGGAGTGAAGACACAATCAGCTAAGACTAGAAGGCAGGCCGGCACCTCCTCCTCCAGGAGTGGCGTCCAGAGTTGAAGTCAAACCGCAACAATCACACCAGACAGACAGTGGCCCCCAC